GAATGAACAAAATGTGGTATGTATGTACGATGGAGTATTATTCAGCCTTTAAAAGGAAGGAAATCCTGACACCTGCTACAACATGGATGACCCTTGAGGACATTATGCTGAGTGAAATAAGCCAGTCACAAAGAGACAAATACTGTATGATTCAATTTACACACAGTATCTAACTCACAGTCATCAAACTCACAGAAACAAAGTAGAATAGTATTTGCTAGTGGCAGGGGGGAAAGGGGCATTGTCTAATGGGTATAAAATTTCAGATTTGCAAGATGAAAAGGTTCTGGAGATCTATTTCACAAAAACATACTCAGCACTATTGAACTGTACACTTAACAAATAATTAAGATGGTTCATTTTACACTGTTTTTTTTTACTACAGTTTTAAGAAAGATGAAGCACTGCCTAAAACCTCCTAATTTCATAATTTAGAAGTAAACTTAAGAGCTTAAAATTAACAGCACCAGGATAGCAAATCTCCTGGTATCTCTACTACTGTACCTTAGGTGGCTCTCCACCCTCAACCCATAGATTAAATACATTACCTACCTGCCTACCCAGGCAGCAGGCCTCTCCCTTTCCCACCCTCCCCCTCTCCTCTTTCCCTTCTCCCCTCTCCACCCCCCCCTTTCTCCTTTTCCTCCTTCACTTCCTCCATACCCAGGCTGGTTTCCTATAAGTAAAATTTGTGTCGTACCTTATACCCATTTAAAGAATTTTCACTTTTATTACGTCATTTGATTTTCCCACCAGCCCTGTAAGGTCAGTGTTCTTTCCACTTTGCAAATTAAGATGCAGAGACCCAGCAATATTAAATGACTGCACCCTCTGCCTTGTCAGTCAGTGGCAGAGCCTAGCTCCACACCCCACACTTGACTTCACAATATAGTACTGCCCCCGAGATTCTGTCCTAAGGGCCTGGATGGGAGCCAGGAGTCCAGATTTCTAACAGACACCCCTCCCAGGTGTCCTGACGCACGAGATTAATGACCCAACTTGAAGAAACACGCAGCTGCCCCGCCCAGCACGAGGTGGGGCGTATGTGACCAGGGGGCTCTCTGCTTTTTTAACGTGCCCAGAAGAGGCAACGTAGGACACTGACCTTCTACAAGGAAGTGGCTGTATGAACAAGGCACTCTCCCACCTGGAAGCAGCTAGAAAAGGCAAAGGAGGGAAAGCAGGAAGGAAGAGAGAAAGATGTAGATGCACCCCATGCCACGGAAAATAATCCTGCCAGTGGAAATCCCAACCAGTCTTGGACATTCTCTTTGTCTCTCAGCACTTGGCACTTGGATGCTTGGGAAACGGGAGAAGCAGAGCTGGGCTCTATTTTCCATGTCAGGTGCACGGCAGGGGAGCACCTGACCAGAGTGAGTCACGGACAACACAGGGATCGGAGTGGGGGTACCTCCTGACTCCCAGGCCCGTGCTCGGGGCCCTGAACCAGGCAGCTTCCCCAACCCGGAGGTGCGAGGATGAAGCTGTCTCCCCACCTGGCCCCGCGGAGCTGGGGGGAGTGGCAGGCTCTGCAGAAGGCAAGGGTCATAAGGACAAGCAAACCCTGCAAAGCAAACCCTGCACAGGAGACCAAGCACTCCTCTTGCCAGGAAAATGCCCTTGTAGTTGAAATCAGAGGCTGGCGGCTAAGTGGGAGAGAGAGGTAAAATATGAACCGAAATGGTCTGAATAGAAAGACACGTGTTCCCTTCGTGACTATGCCACGTTTATTCTGCAACTAGGAGATAAAACGAGATTTCTGTGGGAAGTCTGTGTTGCTCTTTTTTGGAGGCCTTAAAAAAACCCCAAATTTGTGCTAAAGATAAATGAATCAGATTCCAAAGAGCTAACTCTTATGACTACTAAAGAGAGAATTTCCTTGAGACAGGCTGTGAAGTAGGACATCAGTCGGAACTTTCGAGAGAATTCTAGACGGGAGCACCTGATCCTGAGGCATCCTTCAAGGAGGGCGCCGCTACTCAGAAAGATTATGAAGACATCGGGGCTAACTCACCAAACTGTGCTTCTCAGGCACCGGGGTCATGCAGGGCAACAGGCTTCTAGAAGAGAACCCCGAGCAGCCAGTGTGCTCCAAACAAGTCCACGCCCGGCTCTCCGCCCCGGGCACCGGCACACGCTTCGCCGCAGCATGTTGGTGCTGGCCACTGCTGCTGGACCACGTGTCCCCGGGTCCGCTGCCTTAAAGGACCTTTCACGTCCCTGCCGCCCTCCTCAGCGGCTGCAGTGTGTCCCGGATCACAAGGGGTCTGAGGGGCCACCACACCCCCCTTCCCCATGCTGCTCCACCCTGGCCCAAAGGCATGTGGCTCAGACCCCCGTTGGGTGGTGAATCTCACACACATGGCTAAGTGAGCCGCACGCCCACCTTCCACTTGGGTTTCAACCCTGGCAGAATTCTGGGAAACGGGAGGCACAAATGCCTCCCATCGCTGCACCTTCCATAAGTGATGCTTCCTCACCCTCATTTGTATTTGCTATTCCAGCAGCCTGGGTTATTACTCGGGAATGGCAGGGGAGCCAGCCCCCCCCGCCCCCCCCAACCCCCGGCCACACTAGTCACTGCCTGTAGAGGCTTGTCCTGAGGCCCTGCCCCCTTTCAGTCTGGTAGCTGCCCCTCCCCGCATCTGTCCCTCATACGAGGGCTCCACGGACCATCACTACACCTGCGTGCTCGTGACTCCCCAACTGCCTGGACCTTCGGTTCCTTCCATCCCAGATGCCAAAACCTGAACCCTGAGTCAACACAGCAACCCTCCGTGCTTGTTCCTGAGCCTGGGTTACTGAACACAATCCTCCAGGATTCCCTGAAAATCCTTACATGGGCTCTTGCTCATCTCCTGCTCCATAACCCGCTCTCTTCTTCCTCGTTCGACAATGAAACCGAGGCCATTGGGTAGAAGCTGTACACGCTGGTTCGCTGCTCCAAACCACCCCAGAGCAACCCTTTTCTTGCGCTGGGATCCAGCCCCTCCTGCTTCCTTAGGGTCTTCAGCTTCTGTGCTGGCCCTCAGCCCTCGGAGGACAAACCCACATGCTTCCACTCTGCTGAAAATCAGTCCCTCCGCCTTGCGGTCTCTCTCCAGCCCTGTCCTCATGCCCACAGTGTTCTGGCCCTCCAGCCACTGAACCCTGCACCCTGTCACTCACCAAATCTGCTCCTCAGAGGCCACCAGTGAACTCTGCCACAACTGGTGGACATTTTCCGTCTTCAATTTACCTGCCCTCTCTGCGGCACTTGGCTTCTCCTTGTGCTCCTCTCCCCCTTGCCCCTCGTGGGCTCCTCCCCCTCTGCTCGCCCTTAAATGCTGATGTCCCCCCTGCGCTGTCGACGCTCTTCCTTTTCCTTTCCACTACTCTTCTACTACTTTTTTCCTTAACTATTGCTGAGATCTCCACAATCCATCTCTCTTGCTAGATCTTCCTCCTACTGACCCAACTGATTGGATGTCTCCCCTGGGTGTCTCACTAGGTCCCCGATCCCAGGATGTCCACCGCCAAACTCCCCATTTTGCCCACCAACCCTGACTTGCTTCTTGACTTTCTCACTAAATAAATGGCTCTCTATAATCCACCCGCTGTCCACCCACTTGGCTTTTCCCAACCTATCCCCTTCCACCAACCAAGTCCCTTACCACCTAGTCTCCCTGCTTCTAGTCTCGACTCTTCAAGATCATTTTCCATACAATTTACAAATGATCTTTCTCTGTGATCTTCAGAAAAAGTCCAAATTCTAACACGAAAAACCTAACTGTATGACCAACCCGATATCCTTAACGATACAGCTCCTCTCTACCACCCCAACTTCATCTCTCACCATGTTCCCCAAGTCTCCTACACTACCTTCAATTCCCAGAGTGCTCCATGTTTTAGGACACCCCCAGGGTGTCTGTACTCGCTGCTCCCCTATGGAAACCCCCTGTGTCCCGCCACCAGCTTAGTAAACTACTCGCCTCTACCTTAGGTGTCACCTGATCTGGGAGGCCCTTTCTGCTCACTAGACCCTTTCCTCACCCAGAAACTCACCCACCAGGCCGAGTGAACTGCCCTCTTTTGCACTTCAACAGCACCCTGAATGTGCCCCAGGCTGAAATGTGGTTGCTGACTGACTTGCCGATCTCCCTCACTAAACCGTGACCTTCATGGGTTAGGGATGGAGCCACCTCGCGACTCCAGTTCCTAACAGAGTACCTAATAATACTCAATAAATGTTTCATGAACCAATGAACAAACAGTGATAAATCATCTCTCCAGTAGCAGCCCCCTGTCTTGCATGCCTAGGAGGAAGAATCGTAAGCAACATCAAATGTTGGGGGGGAAGCATCTTCAAATAGAAATCACTGTGTGTGCATGACAGAACACATAGGTTATGGAAGATTATTCATTTTCCTTCACCTTATTTTGCCCTTTGCTTGTAAGTCCCTGGGTCTTTCTCCATCATGATTCCTTGTGTTCAGACTTTATTCTGCTTTTCCCACAGCTGTAGCTCCTCCATACCACACAATTTCTCAATATTCTTACTCAGTATTCAGAGCAATATTCTCACAGCAGCTATTCTGAATAGCTAAGAATTCTTTTTTTGTTTATTTTTTAATTTAAATTCGATTAGAATAGCTAAGAATTCTAAAGACCGGAAGAGAACGGTCACTCCTTACGTTGTCAATTTCCATTCAGTCTTCTTGTCTCTAGATTCAGTGACCTCAACTCCATTCGCTACTCCGCACAGTGGTAACACACCGGATCAGCACACTTACATTTTTACACTAAGTTACTAACATTTCAAATGAGATTTGTAATCGACACTCATAAGGGATTAATTATTAACATTCCTTTCAACAACTCCCCCTCCCCATCCAGATGCTGAAGGTTTGTTATTTGTTGCTTTCACCACGTTGATACTGGTCCTCACTTTGTGGTCACCCAAGATCTTTCTATGCCAAACCTTGGATCATTTCTGGTCATTCTTCATTTTGTCAGCGTAATGAATTTGAAGGTCACCGGGGTTTTATTGTAGAAAATCCACAACAATCCACGGATAATGTTAAAATGTTTTTAAGAATAAGCTTTAAAATAATTAGCCATTGGTCATTCCATAAGGCAGACATACCAAATAAATTTGTGTTCATCTTTAAAAAACAAAGTATTGTGAAATAGTTGTCACTGGGCATTAATTAGCATGTGTAGAAATTATAAGATGTGAAATTAATAGGGACAGGCCATCTCTATGGTCATCCTTTCGGTGAGAAATTACGTCTCCAGAACCTAGCTGTCATCCACCACCATCATGGCTATGTAGTCCTTGTAATGAATGGAATTCGATTCTGGGTCAATGGCAGCAGACAGCATTTCTTCCATTTCTTCCTGAGAAAAAGGCTCACCTGGGAAAGATAAGAAGGGAGATTCATCACTGACAATCTTCTGATCGTCTTCTTTCTCTTTCCACCAGCCAGCTTCATTGCCCTGCAACTGCACAGGCCCCCGCTGGGTCGCCAGCTCCCCTCCCGGGGCCCTGGGGTCAGCACATCACACCAGTCCAGAGATTCCAAGAGCGTGCTGTTGTGCCCCAGGCAGATTTGGGGCTTACTTTACCTTGCAGACGTCATAGCTCAAGCAACCTATAAAATTGATCACTTGAGCCAACACAGCAGGAGAACATTAAGACATCCTGAACAAGGTTGTTTCTTTAAATTAAGGCTATTGGGATTGCCTAAGGATTCACCCGAAGTCCCAGTTTTCTAGGGAGTCTAGTCATTACGTTTGCAAGGGTGTGAGGATAGGACCACATGGTCTCGATGCAAATTGCTGAAGAGCAGAGGCTCGAACTGCAACAACTAGGTCTCTGAATATTCCCTAACCAGGTCCGGCCAACTTCATGATGCCAGCTGAGCCCAGGGACAGATGCCATTCATCCACTGTGTCTAAACGGCCCTCTTTGTTATAGTTTGGCCCAGTGTTGCTGTCAAACGAAACCAAAAGTGGCATAGAAAATCTGTGGCTTTCGCTGGATTCAGACAGTAGCTGAGGATCATCTTGGACATTAGTTTCATCAAGATGAGAAGCAAACTCAGGATGAATGTTGGAAATATTGCCGACTACTTAAGAAAGAACTTTGTCCTGATATTAAGCAAAAATACAGAAACATCAAAATTGCCACTTTCCCACCTAAAGAGTCTTCTCTGAGCAGATGAGTTACCAAGGCCTGAGGATCACTTACCTTCTGAGCTTGTCACCTGCCACCATGAACAGGTGGAATTCAGGAATTCAGCTCGTACTACAGAAATTATTCAAGTGGTGATCGTGATGACAATGATGACAGATTATGAAACAAGGGGAGTGTGTCAAGTTCTTGAAACCATACTTACATCCTAAGACAAGAATGCCTACAGAGCCTATGGAGACAGATTCTGAATCTTTCTTATACCGGGCTAAATCCACTGCCAATGAATTCTGATGGGCACCATGGAAGTCCTTAAAAGAATACTAATAACAACTATTTATTGAGAGCTACTGTGTTCCAGACACTGACCTATGTGCTTTGGATACATTAACTAAGTTAACCTCCCAGGTACCTCATTAGAGGTAAGAACTGCTACCCCACTTACAGAAGACACCAGGGGCACCTGGGAGGCTCAGTCAGTTAAGTGTCTGACTCTTGATTTCAGCTCAGATCATGATCTCAGGGTCATGGGATCAAGCCCCACACAAGCCCCGCATCAGGCTTCCTACTCAGTGGGGAGTCTGCTTCTCCCTCTCCCTCTGCCCCTCCCCCTGCTCTCTCTCAAAAGCCCCAGTAGCCTCCTGACGGGTCTCGCCACTCCTCTGATGAACCGCCAGCACCAGATGGACCTTCCAACAATCTCTCCTGCACCACGAGGCCCATGTGCTCAGCACCCTCCAAGGCTTCTGTGGTGCCCACACGGTGACTTCCAACCCCCGAGCCCAGACCTCAACAGGCCAACCCACAGATGTCCCCAGATTCGTCTCCTGCTGTCTGCCAGCAAGACCCTCTGGGCCCTCTCCCCTCATAGACTCTGTGATATCGTGATATCACACTCACCCCTGCCTCCCCGCTATTGTTCACACTGTGTGATCAAGATGCATCTCTCTCCATCGGCCCCTTCACACATTCTTCGTTCATCTGCTCATTCATTCTTTCATTTATTCATTCAACACACATTTGTTGAGACTGACTGGGTGGGGGCTGGAACGCATAAGACTTTACCCCTGCTCTCAGTAACTCACCCATACAAAGTCTACCATCCTGAGAATCCACTGTCTTATATTGTGAACTGTCTTATGTCACTTTTCTTTCCCCCAGTAAAATATCCTGGAGAAATGGAGATTTTAGTACCTCTCACTGCCCTTAGTGTCCCTCACCTCCACACAGCAGGTCACCATATTAATGACAATGAACTCTTTCTGGCCAATTCATATTGCCTAATATAATCCAGGATTCACTCCCCTTAAAATGTGAACTCCTAAGACATCTGTTACAGTGTCACAAGAGGTTGGTGGCAGCTGTGACAGCCATGTCATTCTTGCCCTCGCTGCCTGTGGCCCCACATCGTGGTGCATCAGGCAGACGCGGTCCAGTCAGCTGCGCAGGTGGGCGCAGCATTGGTCTCCCCTCCTCGCAATTAGTTGCACTTCTGATTCCGTCTCAAGTGATTACAACTCTGAATCACACTGGACTCGATCTGCAAACCAGTGAACTGAACAAAGGATGGGAGATTGGGGAGGTGACCAAGGGAAACATGGTTTCAAGAGAACGCCCATTAGGCCACTGACATTCAGGGAAAACAAACTTACACATCAGCCGAAGCAGAGAGAGTGCCTCAAGGAAACATGGCGGCATAGATAGGTGTGCCGATTCGATGGCTGAATGTGTGTGCGTGCATAGGTCAAGCTCAAAGCAAATATAGAGTTCCACCAGCATAAAAAGCTGTAAGTTTGTGTGGATTCCATTCAATGGAGGCTGTATTATCTGTAAGTTCATCAACTGAAAAGCTGTTTAAAAAAGAATTTTTATATAATCCAATTCAAATCTTCAATCTAGTAACAGGCATTGATTTATAATGATTGACAGTTCACGTTTTCCAAGCGGCATAGCTTTCATTCTGAAAAATACTCTAAGTGAATGGAGTGACTTCAATTTACAGAAGTATCTTTATTCGTTACAAAATCCTATAAGGCAACAATCAATCTTCCCTTAACCTACCCTTTGTCCACTTAACCCCACAAAACAGAAACCACACCAATACCAAAATAATAGGAATAGTAAATAACTCTTTCAACCAGAATGATTGATTTAAAAGTGTCTCCTAGAATTTTTCCATAATTGTTGTTAAATTATTTATCACTTAAATAAGTCACAGTTATAAAATAAGCAATAAATCACTCTTACCTTCTTCAGTCATATACTTGATCAGTTCTTCTTTAGTCAGAAATCCACGTTTAGATGGATCTAACACCTAAGAGAAAAGAAAGGGTAGATATTATAGCTTTTTGTTTGGTGAATAAATTCTACAGGATGAATTTTTCATACACATACATATATATAAAATCTGGAGCTCACGTACCTCAAACGCTCGAAGAAGGGTATCTTCTGGACTTGGTCTGTATCTAATTATGCAGTAAAAGGGGCACATACCACAGTATTTAGCTCAGTCTCTACACAATAAATGATCACATAAAATGAAATAAAAGCTGCTAAGGTACAAGGATAATAATACTTCCCTCACTGAAACATGTTTGGATTTCTAGATCTGAAAGTTGAAAGCACTCCACACCCACAGAAGATACTTAGTTCAAAATCACTGGCCTATGTGATGATATCTATTAGCCTTTTTCATCATTGTGAAAATCAACTTATTTGGAAACAAAATTTCTACTATAAACCAACTGTGGTAAGGTAACATTACACGTTCCTTAGAAAAAGAGGTAGGGTGAATTCTCACTGATAGCTCACAATAGAAGATAATAAACATGTTGTTGATTTATGACTTTTGTGATACTTTGCTTATAAGATTAATACAAAAGTGGTTGATATTTCTAAGCACATTTCACCTGGCAGTTCAGAGGTATAGTGAAAAGTCAGAGGGAGCTATCCCAGGATAAATATTTGGTTGAGTATAATATACAAAGTGAAAAAGCCAAGCGTTTTGAAATTAATGTAATTCTAATCATTACTTTACCTTAACAATTGCATGTACCTTCTTACCTTCTCTCCAGTAGTACTTCGGTCATCACTGGAAGAAATTTTTCAAATCGAATGTATCCAGTGGGTTCTTCTTCCTCTACCTAAACATTCAGTAAAAAATAGCCACATATTACTTCAACAAGTGTATTGAGCAACTCCTTTTCACTATGCCAAGGGCTAGGAATTTGATAATGAGCATTCTTGGGCATGGTCTCTGCTCATAGAGTTTCTATTTGGTAGTGGAGACATAGATTAACCAAAAAACAACAGAGCTGAGTGTCTAATTATAAACACAGTGAAGTGAAGGAGCTTGGGTCTATTAGAGTGTAGAGCAAAGGAAAGTTCTAGGCTAGATCAGGAAAGGCATTCATGGGGACTCACACCAGAGCTGATGTATAAAGTGTGAGTAGAAGCCATCAGGGACGAGACTCCAGGCAGAGGAGGCCTTGGAGGCCAGGAGGCTAGGGGGCATAGGGAGCAAGGAGGAGAATGTTTCCAGATGAGGCTAGAGGGAGAGAGAGACACCAGACCTTGCAGCGCCTTATGGTCCATGAGAGTGGCTTTGGTTGTTATCCTAAGACCAACGGGAGATCCCTGAAGGTCTGGTAGATGTGCGTGTGAAAGATCACACTGGTTGTGGGCAAGGCGGCTTCTGTGGTGGGCTCAGCAGCTGTGATAGAGCTTGGATTAGAGTGGTGGCCATGGGGGAGAAGTGAATGGTTTCAAGAAATATTTAAGTAGTAAAAGCCATAGGACCCAGGGGCACCTGGATGGCTCAGTCTGTTAAGTGTCCGACTCTTGGTTTCAGCTCAGGTCATGATCTCAGGGTCGTGAGATCGAGCCCCGTGTGGTGTTCCACGCTCAACAGGGAGTCTGTCGGAGGTTTTCTCTCTCTCCCTCTCCCTCTGCCCCTTGACCCAGTCATGTGCACATGCTCTCTCTCTCTCTAAAAATAAATAAATCTTAAAAAAAAGGGGGGGGCAATAGAACCTGGTGCTGCATCTATTATGGACAAGGATGAGAAAGAAGAGAGGAGTCAAGGATTCTGACTTGCACAAATGGGATGGAGTAATGCTTTTCCCTGTGATAAGGAACATGGGATAAGGGACCAGGTTAGGGGACCAATCATATCTCAAGGAAAAAGTACATATCAAATCACTGTAATAATTACTAAATGCCTATATAGTTAATGGAACTTTGTTATACCACCACTAAATAAGAGAACACTACACCTGAGAAACAGAAATTTTGGTATCTAGCACTGTTAGATGAGAAGGAGAGACTCCTGACCATAGGTTCACTTTGATGTTGTGGTTGAATAAAACACTATTGATCTGAACTTTCATGTCAGGCTATTTACAAGGAGCTGTAAATTTTCCACTCCCTTTCAAAAATCCCATTAAAAGGCTCATCTATCCCAATTCAACAGAGAACCTTTTAACAGATTTATTCTTTGAGCAAAAAATAAGAAATCTGTAAGGTGCTGCTAAGTGGAATACCCTGTTGTCCAAATGACTGTTTTCCAGTATTTATACTGGATGCTCTCACCCAGAATGAGTGGAGCCCTCGGATTCCACTATCAACAGAAATTGTCATCCATCTAATGACAGAATGATACTCCAGAATCTCTGAGCCCATCAATACATGAACAATTGTTTCAGCTGCCTCGAGGCAGGCAAGATTTTGCAAATTCATGTTCACCTGGCTCCGATGTGCTTGAGTCGCACTCTATAACTACCTACCCCGGCAGCCTCTTAAAAATAAAATGTCAATCCCATGAGACGATCTTCGGAGGGATAATTTTTAAATTAAAATGGTGAGTTTCTATGCTGATTATTCCAGAAATGTGCACCAGAAGCTAGAGCACTGGTCTGTTTCCCTCTCCCCCCACCCCACCCCCAACAAATCACCGTGGAGCAAACAGTCTCGACCTTGAGAGATCAAAACCCCTCCGTATTTTATGAGCATCCTCATCAATCTACAAATGGTTTGTAGTGTTTCCAAAGGGAATCCACCTCTCTAGCACTCTCTCTACCACGCGAGAATTCACAACACATAGTATGTGCCCCGTGATGCTCCCCAGGCTCCCACAGGACTTCCACGAGCCCCCAGGGCTCTGAACACCAGGGTGAAAATGACAATCATTCTTGCCCCATCTATCTGTGAAGAGCCAAAACTGCACAAAAACAGCAAATTAAAGTAGATCTCCAGCTAATCGGGATAGCAGAGAAGGCATACATTTTCTTTGACTTTTTTTTAAAGTCAAAGAGGAATAATGAATAAACAGAGGGCTTGTGGTTACAAAGGAAGAAGAAAAATAAGTAAATCCATCTTCATCTTGGGCAGATTGTGAAAATCTTTCTATGACCCAACACTGTCCTCTAGAGGCCACATCTAATCCCTTCCTCTGTACAGAAAGACATGCAATGGCATAAAAACAATACAACTATATGACCATTCTTAATACAGTGTTAATAACCTATTTAATATATACCAGAAAATATTTTATATTATAAAAGGTTTTTTAGTATTAAACTTTTGGGGTGCTGGGTGGTTCAGTCCGTTAAGCTTCTGCCTTCAGCTCAGGTCATGATCCTAGGGTCCTGGGATCCGCAGGATTGGGGCTCCCTGCTCAGTAGGGAGCCTGCTTCTCCCTCTGCCTCTGCCCCTCCCCCCAGCTTGTGCTCGAGCACTCTCTCTCTCTCAATTAAATAAAATCTTTAAAAAAATAATCTTTTTATTTTAGAATAGTTCTAGATTTAGATTTAGAAAAGTTGCAAAGATAGTAAAGAGTTCCCATTATACCACCTACCCAGTTTTCCCTGTTGTTAACCCTTAGTTCACTATGGTACAACTTTATTTGGTTTGTTGTCACAATTAACGAAGTGATATTAATACATTAGTATTTACTAAACTCCATGCTCTATTTGGATTCCATTTGTTTTTCTAAAAGTCATTTTTAGGGACGCCTGGGTGGCTCAGTCGGCTAAGCATCTACCTTTGGCTCAGGTCATGATCTCAGAGTCCTGGGATTGAGTCCTGTGTCAGGCTCCTTGCTCAGCGTGGAGCCTGCTTCTCCCTCTATGTGCAGCTCCCCCCTGCTGTGCTCACTCTCTGACAAATAAATAAATAAAATCTTTTTTAAAAAAGTTCTTTTTAAAATATGGTAATTCCTCTATCATAATGAGAAAACAAGATTCTGGGAATCTGGAAACAAGAGTGGGGACAGGGAAGGATAAGATGTGATTCTATTATTTCTGGTACAGACAAGCTAGTTAACCTTATGAGGCCATAGTAAGACAGGACAAAAACACTACTTTCCAGAAATGTTATGCAATAATGGCTCAATGGTTATTTAGACTCACATATTAAAATGCCTTTAAGGGGCGCCTGGGTGGCTCAGATGGTTAGGCATCTGCCTTTGGCTCAGGTCATGATCACAGGGTCCTGGTATCAAGCCCCACATCGGGCTCCCTGCTCAGCAGGGAGTCTGCTTCTCCCTCTCCTTCTCCTGCTCCCCTGCTTGTGCTCTCTTGCTCTGTCAAATAAATAAATAAAATCTTAAAAATAAAATAAAATAAAATGCCTTTAAGATTTCATAGAAATATATCACATATCAAACTATATTCGTGTGTGTCGAAGGGGGATATATACATAGATATATAGAGAGAGAGTGAGTTAGGGGTTGAGTGTGTCCTCCCCAAATTCGTATATTGGTGTCCTAACCCCCAGTACCTCAGAATGTGATTTATTTGAAGAGAGGTAATTTACAGAGGTAATCAAGTTAAAATGAGGTAATTAGGGTGGGCCCTAATCCAATATGACTGGTGTCTTCATAAAAAGGGGAAATTTGAACACAGTGACATGCACACAGGGAGAATGCCGTGTGAGCATGAAGACAGCCATCTACAAGCCACAGCAAAAGGGCTGGAACAGATCCTCACAGACACCAGAAGGAACCAACCCTGCTGTGCCTTGACTTTGTACTTCTAACCTCCAAAACTGTCAGTTAATAAATTCCTGCTGTTTAAGTTATTTGTGATACTCTGTTACAGCAGCCCTACCAAACACACACACACACACACACACACACACATATATTTATACACACACACACACATTCTAAGCATGCACGACACATTGTAACCCAAAGACTTTGAATCACTATCAAGCTTAAGTCCCTGTAATTACCAATTGGAGATTAACAAAGCAGATATTCGAAATTCAGAACTGATTTTACAGAATTGATACAGAGAAAATAATGCAGCCCAGATCTACTTTCTCCAAGAAAAAACTCCATTAACCAACTTATAACAAAATGAACTCAAGAAAGACCCCCACGTAACAGTGGACACGTTGGAAAACACTAGGAATTCAAGGCCATTTCTTCACTCTGAGCAAAGCCATAGTGGGAAAACCCACTTCTCCCCTGTATTGGGGAGTTTTTTTACAAAAAATGGATGTTGCCTTTCTCATGGAAAAATATCACAATATATTCAGCATGTTAGACCAAGAACAGTTTATAAAAGATTCTGACTAATCTGCCCCCCTGGCGTCCTCCTCTGTAGCAGGTCTACCCGACACAGCTGCTGTGAGGTTCACATGAGACATGACATGAGGTTCTGTGAACTGTGAGTCTCTTGTTATGATTATGATGATTTCTATCAACAGTGCACACACACCTGGTTCTCTATCATGCAATGACACCTCCTCCCAAAAGAATCAATCTCTGGTGCTGAAATCTCCAACACAGCCTCCCGGACCCACCAAATGCACCTAACTTGTGTCTGTAAATGCCACACGGCTTGTGGTGAGAACGTGCTCCACTGCTGGGCCGCCCTACAACCCTGTGCCTGGCCCCGCCCCCGGCCTGGAGGACAGGGCGTGCGCCTCCCCCTCCACCGCCGCCTCCTTCTGCCTCCCCTTCCGCCGCCTCCCTCCGCCTCTCCCTCCGCCGCCTCCCCCTACCTCTCCCTCTGCCACCTCCCTCCGTGCCCCTTTGGACTGACTGATCCGACAGCGGGGAGTACCAGCCGGCCACCAAACACACCCCTCCTGTTCAAAAGACAAAACCAAGCCAACCAATAGATCTTGTTACCGC